ATAGAACTTAGTACATTCTATATTTATAAGATATAATACGATGAATTTAGTGAATTTTTTCAACGTTGCATACAATTTCAAATGCAATCGTGTTTATTTATTTTTCTTACCCATCTTTTTGTTACCCATCTACAAATTACACAATCGTATTCCCTTGAACGAAAGGGTTTCAAACGACGACGGTTCGCTGTGCTCGTCCGTGCTCAATCCGGGTGGTATCCCGAAAATCGGTCCGTCGCGTACCGTTCCTTCGACGCGCGCGGCCAAAAACCGAAACCGCATTTGGAAATGTCCCCCTAAGACTGCTGTCCCGCACAATTATTGCACCGGCTGACGGATCGCACTGCAACGATCCGGACGAATCGAATTTGACGCGTGTCAGTATCATTCATCTGCGGCGACGGCGTCGTAGGTACGTGACGGACCACGCGAAGAATGCGTTTTTCTTACCTACATATCATTTTCATTTTATTATTCTCTCGGTGGGTCCTCTCAATAATATTTTATACAATATTGTTATTTACAAAACGGGCGCCCGCGCATGCGTGGACGGGGACGTACGTGCGCAAAAAATATTGCCCAACGTGACATATTTTTAATTAACACCACCGCGTACAATATTATTGTATTATTCGACCGACCATACTTATTATTATTCCCATTATATTTTATATGTATATAAAATAACAATATAATAACATCGATGGCTAGCTGCTAGGTGCGTGACTGTAATGCTTAAAAAAAACGTAACGCGCGAAATCCCGTGGTGGAGAGGCAAGAAATCGCAATATTTTCTCAGATTCACCGATCGCCTACAAATCAGACATAGTAACTGCAACGGCATATTGTCGAAGAAACGGGTTACCGAGTACGACAACGAAATGCAAATAAAAGGAAAAAAGTTTACTTCAGCCTCGCTCGAACGCAAATCGCGAACATATCGATTCAAGTATATAGTATAAGTAGACCGTAGTATTTGTACTTGAGCCCTGACGCATCTCATTCTAATGTGACTATTGTCGTTCTAATTATTATACCGTTGCAGGCAAGAGCTTTTTTCCTGTCGGCCATCAGCTAACCATTGCGTATACGCATTACATGCTATGTTTACACGAAATCGGTCGACATCAACGGATTCTCTCGCGTTATATTAATATATATTACTATTAGTATATGCAGCGTTATACATTATACTATCTAATGTTATAGTATAAAATATATAAAAAAAAAAACGTTAGACGTGCATTGTTCTCGTCCTTTTGAATGCGCGACAACAACGGCGACGGTTTGACAGCGATACGCGTTAGACGCCAGCAAATATGTGTAAATCGGTGGAAACGCCTAAGAAAAAATTCAATTGACAAAAAATTAAAAATGGGATTTTTTTTTTATCGATTGATTTTAACAACATATAACGCAATCGTTTGTTTACGGAAAACGCGCCGAGTAACCCAAACACGTCAAGTCGCCGCCACGGGGATCCCGATAAATCTCCATTGTTTATATAATAATAATAATTTACACGTCCATTATAATATTATATGGTTCTGCGTTGTAATATTTCGGGAGATCGCTTAAAACAATAGCCAAAAAAAAAAAAAAAAACAACTAACAGCGCAACGCGTATATTCGTCGTCGTCATCCCTCGTGCGGCGTGGTTGTACATGCGTACCGCCCTGGCGGCAGCGCTTTGAGGGGAAATACGAGTTACACGTGTTCCATACACGCATATTTTTTTTTAGGAAAAAAACGCAAGAACGGCACAAAAAACCCTGTTGAATGAGTGACAAGCGTGCGTCCCCACCCCGTTTCGTGTCTGTTTACACTTGCTCGATTTTAATTCACACAGGATCTCCCCGCAGGATGACATGTAAATGATAGTTTGCGGTAAACTGCATTATTGTATTTCGTTCACATGTTATACATACAAAACTCTATGCGCTATAGTGTGTGTACGTAGATGGCTTATACATTGACGTACGGCAGTTCGTGCCGCGTACTCGAAAAACTCAGGGAGTGTTATGAAATCTATAAGCTTTAACGAACCGCAGTTTTCAACGGTTTTCTCAACGATTTAATTGTTTCGAAATAATTTTAGAAAAATGTAATACTGTAAACATGTTTTTTAAAACTTAACACATGGTTGCGAAATTATCCGCATTTCCGAACACATTTTTTTTTTTAGATTTTTGGCTAACGGTAATGCATTTTACTACGTATCAGTAAAAACATAAAATTTATAAATATTATCATCAAGCGTTTCATTCGGGATTCTTGATTTTTTTGTTCGAAGCGCGTTTACAAAAAAAGGAAAGAACAACATGAATTTTGTAGAAATATTTGTTTAACAAATTCGCCGGGCGTTTTATTATTGTGTGTTATGTGGTTTTTTTCTTTTATTGTTTACTAGAAACTAAAGGATCTCACGACATTGTGCGCGTACAATTATTACTCGTATACGAAATATCATGCCACACAAATTTAGATTCCTAGACGACAAACAGACAATTAGCGTTTATTAGTTGCTAAGGTCTGTCGTGTAAAATATAAAGCCATATATACTAATGAATTGCATTTTTTCGTACGTTATTCAAAATAATGACACAGCTAGTGTAATAATTTCGGTGCTTATACGCGGTACACAGAGAAATGAAAAATAACGAACGTGAACCAGTGTATACATTACCGAATCGTTTCTAGATTTAATGATAATAATACCGCGTCCCTTTGTATTTGATTTTAAACATTTCATGATGGGAAAACATTAATTCACTGCAGCCGTAATATCTGTCGTTATAATATATCATTTGTATACTAACGGGAGCGTACAGTAATCAATGATCGTTTAAGACTAATTTGCTAGCGCGTATGTTTAACGAGAGAATGTTTTTTGAAATTGTAAAGATTCATTTTTACATACATACATATAATGTGATCTAGTTAGACCGGGTTTTGATTTGAATAAAATCGGTTTAACCTCAATCACATAGGACCTAAGGGCAACTAGTAAATCGTCCGAAAAGCGGTTCATTAAAAACAAGCTATTGTGTTTGATTGCTAAATTGTCGAGTCCCGCATATGCGCGTTAAACTTTTTATTAGTACATACTTTTTTTCATCGTCTACATATTCTTTCTTTTTTTCCCTCACAATTACTGTTTTCATCTTTTATTATCATTATTATTATTATTATTATTATTTTTATTTTTTTTTATTTTGAGTATATATATATATTTATATTCCCCCTCGTCTACCGAGCGGGTTAAGAGGAAACGACGTTGGACAAACGGCAATTGATCTTTATTGCTCTAAACTGGTTCTGTTAATAAATTTAGATTGATACAAATGCCGTATTATAGGCTAATGTATACATATTTACAGTGACGACGAAAATGACGACGACGAGAGCCTACAAGAAGTGCGAACAATTGATGCGTTCCTTAAATATAATAATATTATACCGCGGTACCGGTACGCTATGAAAATTAACCGAAATATTTTGTTCGTACAATAAAAAATGTGCAATAAACGCGTGAAAGGGTTTTTGGCGGTGACGGTGATGACATGCGCATAGTATACGGAAAACCAGAGCAGGGAAGATAAAGGGGGAAGATAAAGGGGGAAGATAGAGAGAGAGGAAAAGAGAGAGAAAATACCGTTGCGAATCTTTGGTGAGAATATACAATAAAAACACCCTCGAGGTAGGTGGAAGAGAAAAAAAGGTTCATGTAGAAAACAATTGACGATTACACGCGTCAGACAAAGGCATCGGGTTACCCGTGGTATATCGTTTTTCTCGCATTTTTGTGGAAACTTAACCGAGCGCGTTTAAGTGCGTTACTACGATATCGTCCTTATATCATATACGTGTACGTATACATAATACGTATGTACACAGGCTCAGTCGGTCGGGGTATTATTATTATTATTTTTTTTTTTTACCGACGGGGTGTAAATACGATTCACGTGTTTCCCACGTGGGATTATTACGCTCCGGACGACCAATTGCTCGTAATTTTCAAATCGACCCTGTGCCGCCGTCCGTGCATGAACGCAATATCGATTAGACGGAACGTTGTCGGAGCCATCGATTGATGATAAGATAAAAAAACAGAAAAAAATAAAATTGAACATTATTGGGGCCGGACACTGCGACCTATGACCCCGTCCGGTATGGTTCTATTCACGCGGTTCGTCCCCGTGGTTTATCCGAGAAAGATTTTTCCCGCACGCGCACAATTCGCAACGATAACGTGGTGCGGCGTGCGGACGGCGCGAGCCGACAGGACATGGTTGTGCTGCGCGCGAGAAGAAAATAGCCAATGGTCTGCGCCAATGTTTAAAATAAGAGTTTGGACGGGCAGGGACCGTGCGTCGATGGTTGCACGGTGGATGCCTGGGGTTCATCGATCCTTTTGGATTTATTTTCGAATAAAAGGGCGAAAAGGCGCTCCGGGTATTCGACCTTCGCGCGCGGCCAGCGGTTGTCGTGCGGCACGCATTTCCCGCATTGTTCGGAAAACGCGACATTTGCGAGATGTGCGGCTTTTGGCCGGTCGTTTGACACAAATACCGGACGCGCGCGAAAAAGAGATCGAGATCGAGAAAGAGAGAGAGAGAGAGAGAGAGAGAGAGAGAGAGAGAGAGAAAGAGAGAGTGGAAAAAAAACCGACCGTCTCTCTTCTCTTTCGTTCTGCTGTCGGTGGCTGCGTACGTGCACCGAAATAGAATCACACCGAGGGGATGAGAGGACCGGGACGGGGGTGGTAACGCGTGAGCGAGGTGTGCCGAGGTTAGTTTCGTTTGCCAAGAGAAGAAGAAAAAAATTATTGAAAAAAATAAACCCGACCAACAAATTGTTTTACACCACACGACCACCTGCCCCCCTTCCCCAAACACACACACACACACACACACACATACACATACACACACCCTTGGTACCGCGTTTTTACATTGGCCATAGTATTTTATTTATTTATTCATTTCCGATTCACTGACCTTGGGCATTGGTGTAGGTCGGCGTCGACACCGACAGCGGCGCGGTGACCGCCGAGTGCGGCGACAGGGTCTGAATGCCCAGTGACGTCATCGCAGCCGTGGTACTGGACGTGTCCCTGTGCGCCTGCGGCAAAGGTACGATAACCGACGGCGAGGCGTGTTGCTGCTGCTGGAAAGAAAAAAAAAAGAAATTATTAAAAACATTGTAAAAAAGTCGAAAAACGTCTGAAACGTTATAGAGAAACGGCGTACACGCATTTCGTATGTTTTGGCGATATTATATATTGGTTTCATTTGAATCGCAGTGCTCGTAAAAGCTCGCGGCGCGCCAAAATTGCCTCGTGGATTAATAATTGTTTGTCGTTAAACGAATAAATAATTTGTATGGCATACACCACAATAAGCGTTCGAATGTACGTATAACACAGGTGTACGTATGGGTATTGTTTCTTTTTATCATTGTTACACGATTTTTAATTAACAATTGTCCATGCCAAATACCGCGTGCTCGTATATTATATGCATATATTTATTATGTAGAAAACTTCAATTAATACATATCGCTCGCTAGACTAAGACGACGTAAATGCATACATAATACGTGTATGTATGTGTATAAATACGTACAAGGTGCAGCTGATTGTGTTTAAATCGTCGTATTATTCGTTGCTTGTAAGATTCCACCGAAATCATATTTATAAAATGCTTTGTGATACATCAAAACGTTATTTTGTTTGAGAACCTGTGTTTAATTACACGTTCAACGGTAATAGATAATCCGAAATGAGACGATAATGTATTTCGTATGTATACTGTATTCATTATGCACCGTTAATTTATCGTTGTGTTATGATCGCACAGCTTGTAACGAAAGTAATACCAAAAAGCAAACTACGACGCGTCCGCTGCTTTATTGTAACGATATGTGCCGAGATGATGGGTATCACGAAGTGATAATATTATACCGAAATTTCGTGCGCACATAATACGCTCGTTACAGTCGTCGCGTTACTCTACTCCACCGTATAATTATAATCGTAATTTTTATTAGATATTAAACGGGCGAGCAAGCATCAAAAACAATAACATTAATAATATAATGTTTGTTTGAAACACGGGGCGAAACGCGATGTCCTCGCGTCCTCGAGGACATCATGCCAATCGGATACGATATTAATTATATTTGTATAGTATATAAATATGTATTTGTACTTGTAATTGTTTATAGGTGTGTGCCTACATATTTATTTTTTTTTACACGCCTTTTACACGATTCATGTAATTATTGGACAATACGTGTACATAGCAATCGCAACGTCGAGATGCGCACGTGTGCCGCGGCGGTGGTATGCAAGGAGCCATATTAAACGCCTTCACAAGTATATCTGTACAATGTAATACAGGTACGCGCACACGTGCACGTCTGATACATTGGATTTTTCACATTTCACTCAGGATAAGAACCGTACAAGAATATTGTTACACGGATTGTGCAATCGTCATTCGTTCCTTTGGACAACAATGGCCGTAGCAACAACGTTCGTGACGTACGGCAGTCGTACACTGTATTATACTACTGCACACAGCGTGTGCTCGGCATAACGAAATCATTTGCATACGATTCACACGGGGCGGCGGTGACGAGAGTAGACGAGCCGGAAACTTTTCTGCAGCAGCAGCATCAGCGGTTATTATAATTACGTAAGAATTAAACGCGAAAATATTATTATTTATTATTACGTCCTCGTTTCGTGTTTTCGGGGTGAATAACGGATCGGCGTATATTATACCCATACGGAGAGGCATATTGTAATTTTTTTTTTCTTTTTCATACGTATAAATCAGCGTAACTATTGCTGGGGAACAAGAAGGGAAAAAGAATCGGCCGTCGTTTTTCACCTGCCCGCCGCGATTTTAATGAGAATGGATATTCGCGAAAAAGGGGTAACGTTCCTTTCATCGTCTGCGGCGGTGGGAAGACGTGCACCGCGCGAAAATAATTTGAATTTTATCCTCCCGCAGGGAACGGAATTCGTCGATGCGCGTATTTTAATACGTACATATGAAGTATATTATATACTACTACATGCGTACATGTTTTTATTTTTTATTATTACCTTTATAAATAGTGTACACCTCTGTATACGTGTACACGCGTATGTTAAGGTACGTGCGGCTGTACGAGAAACAATAAACGCGCCTCGGCGTGGACGAGGAAAGGAATACACACGGCGCAGTGGAAAAAATAAAAAAATAAAAAAAATAAATAAAGAATAATAATAAATCTAGAACCACAGGAGATTTGATGTGAAGGAATAACGCACAAAAAATAATAATAATAATAATAATAACAAACGTGTATTATTACAATGCGAACTTCTGCAGTTCCGAAACGCGGATGTTCTTGAATAATTGCAGATTCTAATAAAAGATAGATCGAGGTTATTATTCGGTTTTTTTCGCCGTATATATTTCCACGTGTACGCTGTGCGCTGTGCTGTGCTGCAGCACTCGTTCAATACATTACATATCATAGATTATAGTCTCCGAATTTATTTATGATTTCGCAAACATTACACTACGGACACCTCGGCCTGCGCGCGGTTTTTTAGCGCTGATTTGAATTTCCGAACGGAAAACACATAATGTCGCACTATGTTGTTGTTGGTTTTTTTTTTTTTATTATCTCCTTTTATCCTTTCTTTTCTTTTTGCATAAGGTCATGTTCATTGTTCACGTAACCGATGTAACGTGTGTACGTATGCGATATATGCGCGCGCACTTGTAGATCAAGGATTTTCGCGAAATCTGAATCGCAATTTTTACACGTATTGCGAAAATGTGATATTTACAAGCACACGCGTTCGCGCATGCGCGGTCACATCGCGTCACCACCACAGGTCGTTTTGATTGAATACCGGCTGTGCGTATACTCGTACGATAAACGTGTACAGACGCTTAAGAGAGGATTGATTTTTCTTCTTTTTTTTTTTTTCATAACAATAGCGCCTTTCGAAGAACGCACCGATAATTGTGTTTAATTAAAAAAAAAAAGAATAAATATTTAATAATAATAATAATAATAATAGTACGGGTGATCGGTGATGATGGCCGAAACCATTGTTACATGGGCTCGAGTTGCTGCGGGTGTACCGGGCGTTCGAAAAAATCGGCTGATTCAAACACATTATGTTTTTATTATTATTACTTCAGTTGTCAACAAGTATTCTTACCGAGAACAACACAGTAGTAATCGTGTGCGTACAACGAACATAATGTTGCGAGTATACGGTGCGGTAAATAAAAACAGAATCTGGGCACCCGGGTAATCCTAGGCTAGCAGCGCACGGTGGGAGAGAGCAGGTACAGATGAAAAAAAATGAATAAAAAAAACAACAGAAACAACAGAAATACCGTGTAACGCGCAGATAACCGTTTGCTTTTGATTGGGAACAATAAAAGTGTATAATTTACACGCGTACGCGCGCGCGCGTGCGATAACGCACCAGCGGTGTGTGTGCTTTCGGAATGTCTTGACATTTTACAGAAAATGTAAAATAAATTCCCTCGTCGATGACGTTCTGCCCACGATCGCATACACGAAATCGTATCTGCACACGTATTCATCGGCCGCGCGCGTCAAGTATTTTGTACATACGACCACATTATAATAATTTGAAGCTACTGCTACTGCACCCGTAAAACGTAATAATAATATGCGCTCAGCAAATTTGAAACTGGTTTTTTTCGCGCGATAATTATCGAATTTTGTACATGGAAACACGTTAAACGTATGAAACGGAGCAGCAGCGGCAGCAGCGACGGTGGCCGAAAAACGCCGCGTATTATTAGGATCGGATAGATGGTTTTTTTTCTTTCCTTTCGCATATCGTAATCGCGTTATTTTCGCAATGACGTCGATCGACGATAGATCTATTTGAGTTGATGGTTACGCGGCACACCAGAATCGCACGACGTGTATACCAGAAAAGTAATGCATGTTACGTTTGGAGAAAAAAAATAAAAATAAAAAACCCATATCATGTGCGCACGCGTCGAATTAATGTTTCTATTAGTCCTGGCCGCGATAACCGATCGACGGATTGTCCCCGCGGGCGCCGTGACCACGACGCGCACCGTCCATACATTGTACACGATCGTCATTATGATTATTATAATTAATATTATTATATATCGCAGCACTCCGATGCGTTTAACACGCGAACGAGAACGAACCACTGGTGTACAAAGACCTCAAAGAGATTGCCCGGTGAAACGGCGATCGTACGAAAAACGCAAAGCATACATGACACTTTTTCTCCACTCCTCCGTCGCGCAGGGACGAGTGCTCGCGTACATCGCGGGTTATTTGTTCTTAATAAAAAAAAAAAAAATCGTTACGTATGTACTAAAATTAGAAAGTGCTCACGTTTCGGCAGTAATATCGCAGATCAAACGAAACTTGAAATTTCATTTAATCCGCGGCATTATTATCGATGGATGTCGGACCGCGAGGCCCGCAACTGACGGCAGTTACTGTTATTTTAATATTACGTGTATCGGCGAGAAACTCCGGGTCAAATGTGAATCTCGCATCGAACAATCGTCGTGATCGCGAACTGTGTACGATGATCGATATAACATTAATACGTATCGGTTTCGTTGGCACACGTAAATACACGTTTTATGTGCAGCACGACGGGTTCAGCTTAGAGTTGGTTTTTTGCGCGGGCCGACAAACGTTTGTTAAACGTGCTCCGTTGAAACAAACAGTGCGATTAATATCGTTTTGTTTCCCCGTTAACTTTCGAAACAAGGCGACACCGCACGGCAGCCCCGGAGTTCGACAAGGATCGCGATGATAATAATAATAATCCATGATGATGATAATAATAATAATATCATAACGCGTATATGAACGCGCGATACAGATGTGTACCGTCGGTTTCCCATGGTACAGAACCTATACGATATAACTTTATACATAAAAGAAGCACTGCGCAGCAGAGGTACGAGAGACAGATTTAATACGTTCCGTACAATAATAGTATTATAATATTGTCGCGCGGAAGATCTTAAACACTCGCCGCTACCGATCGCGGTATTCAAAAAGTATTTATTACGAAACAGATAGGTTATAATAATATATTGCTGCACCGTGTACATAGG